GTTTCTGTCCTTAAATTACAGGCAAAATGACCCATGCTACACCAGTTTAAAAAGGTTTTCATAGCTGACAGGCATGGTTTAATCACTACTAAAAAGCATCCATACACTTTCATCTGCTCTAAATGCTCTAACAAGGTTTTTTCTTAAGAAAGAAAAATCCTTCAAAACTCTTGAAGGAATCAGTGACAGATAAATCCTCATGTATGTCTTTTTTCCTTTACTGTGTCAAAGGGATGCCTGCATCTGGAAAATTGTAAATGTGAAAAAGCGGTAGAGCATAACAAAGAAAAGGGATAACTTTGAAAATTGCTTCTCATATATTGCTGCAGTAACTATAGAAGAGGATCCTCTATGCCATCAATAAGAAGTAATGTACTTCCACTCAGAGAAGCTATATATTATTTACAACTTTCAGAGCCAAAGTCAAAATTACTGTTATGGTAAGATTCCCCTGTCTTCAACCACTGTAACCTCTTCTGCAGTTTCAGACATTTTCCAGATTTTAACCATTTTCTTTTGCCTGCTTCCCTTCCACATTACTTTCTGACCAGAAGGCAACAGCAGAATTCTCCAATTTTACTTGAATACCTTGAAACAGCTTTCCCATCCCTTCACCCCTCCCTCCACACCCATTTTTAGTCATGACTTTTTCTCTTGCTCAGTCTTTTGACTTTTTGACAAACACCGTGCAACATCTCCATACTATCCTCGTGACTTTGTTCTCTCTCATTCTCAGACCTGTATTCCTCTTGTGGTTCTTTCCTTTCTACCTTCAAGCAGATCACAGGCCCCATTACCCCAGAGCAATTGTATTGCAGGTCCCTTTCCACAGCTCCCTATCTCCTCCTTTGGGATATGCAAATCGTACAGCCTGCTTCCTCACTTCCAGTTCTCCACAATCCATAGCCTTCTAGAAACAAATGAAAAATGCCATTAGTCTAATTAGTTTGGAGTTTCAAAACTTTGAAATGTTAACTAGTGGGCATAATTTTCCAGGAAAATTGGAAAGGGAATTAGTCTGATGAAGAAGAACTAGAATACCTAAAAGCCAAAACCTCTCACAAAAATATTGAAGTGCTCAGAACTGGCTTTGCTTTCTTTTACAGTGCTGCCTGAATGGATGAAGGAATGATACTGACATTCCACTATCTGCCTTTGCTTCAAAGATTAGCAAAAATAATCAGAAACAATTAAACCGTGTTATAACATTGGAGGGAAAGGGTACCCTACATCTTTCTGGACATACAATGAATATCTTGATTTATCTGTATTGCCCAAATCCATCCAATTCAAACTCTGATTTTGAAGCCTTCTCTTAAGACTGTAGCGTACATTTAAAACCCCTTTTCCTTTAATAAATGTAGAATAGTTCTATTATCTGTAAAAACTGTCCATAGGAAAGAAAATGGAATAGAAGAGTTTTGAACTTATTTGGCCACTTTCAAAGTTATTTATCTCTATGATATTGGATAAGTCACTTCAACTTTCCCTTCTCAGTTTCCTCAAATGTAAAATGAAATTTATACAACTTGCCCATTTTTGAAATTAAGGACATGAACATTCAAAAAATTCTATGAAAAATTCAGCTTCATTTTCTTAAAGTTGTTTTACCACCTGTACCTACCACTTAAAGGTAGATGAAACCTCTGGAAGTGAAATTGCTGATGTAGAATTTCTTTTACCCATCTGAAACAATCAAGACAGATTTAGTTCTCAGTTGGGCCACACTAAGTCCTTTGTTTCAGATACATCAGAACTGTGACTCTTGAATTTCATAACTGAAAAAAACCTGCCATGCACTACCATGTACAAATATGCAATGCAAAAGAAGGAAAAAAATGTAAGAACAAAAGATCTGCCAACAATCTTGTGAAAATGATAAATGCGGATTTAAGAAACAATTAGTTTCTTTTGCTTTCAGCCTTATTTTAAATTATACTAGCAACCTCCTCTGAGCACTAGTCTTAGATTTCCCTTCCTTAGAGCTGTACTCATAATCTTGACCATTAGTGTATACCAAGCAGGAGATCAGTTACTCTGCCAGTCAGTATGGTGGGGAGAATTCCCCTCAAAAAGCCGTGTGATCCCCAGCAAGTCCCTTTCTCTGAAAGTGGTGTGCCGATGCCTAACACAGAAAATACTCCATGTCACACATCACAACAGTTAGAGCACTCCTCAGACAATCTGAGGGCTGCTGCTCATGGTCCCACAGAACTGGGCAGAGGTAACCCTTCAATCTGAGCCCAGTAGTACCTGTCTGAGCATTTCAAAACTAAGAAATCAAAATCTGAAAAAGAGTTTGGTTTAAACACCTTAAAGTACAAATTGAGCTATTTTTTCCTTTTGATTATATTTTTGAAATGTCATGTCAATTTCTCACATTTTTTTCTAGCCAAGAATGCTGGAAGTCAAATGGAGATTCAGTTTCCAGGAGCAGGGAATCTAATAAAATATCACACGATTTGTGATTAAATAACCAGAGCTGCCATCTCTGCTGCTGTACTGTCTTCTCTAAAACAGAGCAGCATTCATTTATTTGAATTGCTGTGTTGGGATCTGTTGGCTTATTCATGAAAGTCTTCCTGATCCTATACAGTATATACATATCAGACATGCTTTCCCTTTGAAACCAAGCATATTTATATCTATTTGCCAGCTAAAGAAATACAAAGTGGTACTGAATACTTTATTAGGCAAAAAACACTCTTGCCTAAAAAGCCTCTAGAACTTATGTATAATATATCCCTGAATACATTTAGAGAATAATTTTTGTCAGAAATGGCTACATTCTGAGGCACAGCTGCCGTTAGCCTGCTTTTCTTACTTGTGAGTATTTACAGAAGTATGTTTGCCTCCAGAGTATCATCATCATGCTCACAGCTCTCTTCCAATGACCCAAAGAGCAAGAAGGAAAAGACTCTTAATTGTTACATATTTTCCCTCATGTTTTAATTACAGATTTGCATGAGGCCTTCAGCTAACTGCAGGTACTAGGACAGGGTGGGAGCTGAGGGGCTGGAAAGCAGCTTGGCAGAAAAATACCTGGAAGAGCTGAGGCACAGCTAGATGAACATAGCCAGCAATACACCCCTGCAGCAAAGAGAGGCAGCAGCATCCTGGGCTGCACTAGGCAGAGCATTGCCAGCAGGCTGAGGGAGGTGATCCTTTCCCTCTGCGTAGCATTGGTGAGACACACCTGGAGTGCTGTGTCCTTTTCCAGCCTCCCTTCTACAAGACAGACATGGACATGCTGGAAAGAGTCCAGCACAGTGCCATGAAGATCATTAAGGGGCTGGAACATCTCTCATATGGGGGGAGATGGAGCCAGGCTCTTCTCAGTGGTACCCAGTGAAAAGACAAGTACACAAACTGAAGTACAGAATGGTTAAACATCGGCAAATTATGTTTTATTGTGAGGTTGACTGAACACATGGAAGAGGCTGCCCAGGGAGATTGTGAAGTCTTCATCCTTGGAGATGTTTGAAATCTGACTGGATAGATCCCTGAGCAACCTTCCCTAGATGATCTTGTTTTGAGCAGGAAAACTGGACCAGATGATGTCTAGAGATGCCTTTCAACAGTCTGGTTCCAAGAGTTGTAAGAGTGGAGCACAGATTTCTAGTTCACTGAAGTGAGCCTTACTGATTTAGGAAGGCAGATGGTGACTGTTCTGTTCAAAGGTGTAAAGAATCTCATTTTAGAATTTGAATTAAGGGAGAGTAAAGAGGCCAAGCACTTGCAAAAATCCTCCATTTATAGGGTATGTGGAGTGAAAAGGGAGTTACAGTTTGCAAGTCATCCTGGAAGTAAATTAGAACTCCCACAACAAAAGAAAAGTGGACAATTAGAAGAGCAATAGATTAAACCAAGAAGGGTCATAGGAGCTCTATGTTAGAGAGGGCACAGTCAGTGCAGTTTCACATTACAGCAGTAATTCTCTCACAGTTCTACATTTAAAAATAACACTATTGACACAAGGTTTCTTAGAGGTAAAGTTACACTTTATGCTGCCAATGAAAGGGACTAGCCTGTTCTTCCCCTCCAACAGCTTTTCCTTCTTTCTATTCTTTTCTAATTGCTGCCATCATTAGTTACACCAACCCATTGAGACAACTGAATATTGAACTACTAAAAAAAAAAGGATTACTCCATTGGTACAATTTGGTGACTTTGATGCTCCCTGTGTACATATAGTTGCTGCAGCCAGTGCAAAAGAGGGGATATGAGAGGTAATAGCAGCAGTAACATCCAGTTTAACCCCATGCTTAATTGGATACCAGTGAAATTTATCAGACATGAAAATGTTATTTTACATAGTCTAAACTACATGTGAGTTATTGCTGTAATCAGGCAGCCTGGCTGCATTATCACCTCACACCCTAAGGCAGTATGGTGTACCCTGCACTGTGCAACAGGGTCACTGACAATATCTACCAAGACTTAGAGAATCCCTAAAAGACCTAGGCAATGAAGGGCACAAAAGTATTTTCAAACTGTTTCAAATTTCAACCTGTCATCACAAAAACCATTCCACAGTCAAGAGCAGTTTTGTATGAATTTAACACCAGTTGGTTAATTGATGTGAATTGATATGAGTTGATGGCAAAAACCTATCTGCAATTCCAAGACTTAATCATATCCAAAACTCAGGACTGCTATAGCATTTACCCTCACTAGAACCTGTAGTGTCAGATAACACAACAGCTTATACAGCTTTATTTGGATTCTAACATTAATTACACTTTGTATCAATATACAGAGCATATTTTAGAATATCTCTTATGTGGACATCTGCAAAGGTATCTTATTTGTATAACTGATGATATAGTGAGGAAATAAAGGGGTTTTTTTTTCTACTTGAAAGGGTTTCTTTCTACTCTCCCATTCCTAGCAATGTAACAGTAAAAGCAAAAAAATATCCGGTTTGTTTCTACAAAATAAATATGAAAATCCTTCAGTGGTCTCACCTACTAAACAGATTTTTTTTACATATTTTGCAGTTTTTAACAGTTATACTGCAGCTTGATCACTGAAGATGGAAAAGGACTTACAGAGATATGAAGATATTCTCCTGAAATATGCAGAAAATTAATGGTAACCAATCTCTTCCAAAACTAAGTTCAAGAAAGAATTGCACTCAAGTATGGTTAAGAAAAGTGTATTTTCAAATAGTGAGATGGGATCCTAAGAAAAACAAATATTAACTACTTGGCTGTATTTAAATACTGAATTTGAAGTTCCAGGACAACTGGCTTTACTCACTGGTGGAAAGAGCAGGTGGAAAGGATAAAATTCCACTGTATCAGCAGAAAGTTTTCTTCTTGGTTTCCCAAAAAACTAATACACAAGTAATCCACAAAGGTGCATCTCATATAAAGAACTGTAAAATTCTGCACTAAATGTAGCTTGGGAATATCTTGTTTAATAAAACGGACAGTAGTGTGTAAATGGCTGAAACAAATTCTTGCTCTAGGAGACTAATCTGCTAGATTGATGGGTGTTGGGATGCTAATACTTTTATCAGAGAAGAAGGCACCTGGCAGAAATGAGCTGCACTGCCAGAGTGAGCATACGGAAACTGCAGGACCAACATCGAAAGACAGGCTGAGCTTTTTGCTGTTGAGGACAAAAAAAAAAAAAAATCCATTATTTTGGCAATGTGCAAGTCTGAAAATAAATTATTTTTAACCAAAATAGAAATTGACAATTACATTGTAGTTTCTTTGATTTATGAGAGACAACATAATCAAATATGGTCCTGGTTTCAGCTGGAGATAATAAAATAATAAAACAATAACAACAACAACAACAAAACAACAACAACAACAACAATAATAACAATGATGATGATGATGATGATGATAATAATAATAATAGTTTCCTTCTCAGTAGCTGGTACAGTGCCATATTTTGGATTTAGTTTGAAACTATGACAAACATTCAGAAAGGTCCCCCTAGTACTAATGTATTGCCTTCTCTAAGGGGTTTCAAGAGTCAGCTTGCCTAAACAGCTAGTGAACTAGGATGGAGTATTTCTGGACACATGTAGTTTTGACTAAGTTTCTTAATCTTTTAAAGACAGATAATAAATCTCAGAAATTTCCAAACATTTCAAAACATACAAGCAAAAATTGATACATCAGAATTATACCATAAAAGTAAATATGCACATAATTACCTAACGTCTTGAAACTCCTGTCTCTAGATTACTAAATTACATGTTTTAAAATATAATTTCAAGTGATGCCTCTGTTTCAAATTTGATAAGCAGTAACAGCCACAGAGAAATAGCAAAAATTTTAAATATTGCAATTAAATATGAGACAATTTACTATGAAGTGGTAAAATACCAATGTTTCTAATGAAACTGGCTAAAAGAAACAAGAGTTTACCATGCAAACTTTGAGTTTTTCCCTTTTTCCCACAATTGGTCTGTTTCGGGATATCATTCCATGAAGCGTTGCAAATCAATAAAAGAATCCAAAGAGGAGGATCGTTTCCCCTTTCCAAGTTTCATTGGTCCCTTCCTCCCATTCACACTGATTGCTGTGCTATCTCTGGCACTCCTCAGACCCATCTGTGAGTGAGTTTTCTGCCAGACCATATTAAATCCTGCACAGATTTTTGCCATAGGAGTGAAATGCCTTGGCTGGTAGAGGAGTCTGATGCGTGCAGTGCTGGAGAGGAGTGAGGATCAGGTGTGGAGAGAGGGTGTGGGGGGCAAGAAGAGTGGAATGGGATGAAGCAGCGATGCACCTGCAGCTATAAATCCCATTTCTTAGATACAGTAACTAGAACCTGAGATGCTAATATTTTCAAAAAACATTTTCAAAAGAGACAAGAAGGATTTCAGTTAACTGGGGGAGAGAGAAAAAAATTGTTTAGTTCATTAACATGGTTCTCTTAGAAGCAAGGATCTTAAAACAGAAACACTTTACTTCTAGTCTCTGTTGTAGTTTTAGATTAAATGTTGACTAAAATTGTGATTAGAACCCAAGTCTTTCTTTTCCCAGGCAAATTCTTTAATACCTTGAATAGTCAGTCATGCTTGGGTATTCACCTTCTGGCTTAAGGAATAATTATTTACTTACTCAAAGTACAAACTCTCTAAACAAGAAGGACCTGGAAGCATTACACATCCGGGGCAGCTGACAGCTTGCTCCCAGGCACACTTGAAGCTTTAGATTTAAATCCAGATTTCAGCCACTCTTTGACTAGAGAGCTGAAACACTTTTGAACTCTCAGGTCTCAGCTGAATGGCTTGTCTTTCTAATGGTATGAAACCCAGGTGTGTGTCCATATGCTGCTTCAGCAGGAGCCAAGGAGACTGTAACAGATCCTTCATTAGGAAATCACCTGATAATTCCACAGCATCCATCAGCTGGTTGTGATGCAGCCAGCAGCTCTGTTACCCCCCTCCCCCCCTCTGTAAAATCAGAGTAATAGTGGCTAATCAGGATAAATACATTGACAGTGATATACCTGGATACTCAAGCAATGGCTATTACATCAGCATTTCAAACAAGCTGTGCAGAAGGACAGATGGAAGATAAGTAAATACAGGACTAAAGACTCTCATGGAAAGGTAAATACAAAAAAAGAAAGGTTTTCTTACCAGAAAGCTTATTTTCTCAATGTGTTTTTCTCCTAGAATTTTGATTAACTGTGGAAGAAGTAGTCTATTGATACCAACAGTCTGACTATATTGGAAGTTTAAGAAGATGCTCATCTGAGATGAAGCTGAGGTAAGAAAGAGTTCTAGAGCAAGACTAAGTGATCTGCTACAAAGTGTATCCAACTATTTTTAACCCTGTCTAAACCAAAAACATATGAAAACCTAATAATACCCAGAGGATGCATATTAAAATATTTTTGCATTGAATATGAGCACATGAAATGGCTTGCAAATGTACTGTGTCATTTGTGTCACTTGGGAATTTTGTAGTCACACAGGCAACTTAAACAAATCAACAGTACTTTGGTACAGACTTCAAAGAAGGTAAAGGCTTGAGCCACAGCTGGGCCAAGAACTCTTCTAGAAAACAAACCCACAAAGTTGCAGAGTGACCTAGTGAGAATGGTCCACACCAATCATGGCGTTAACACATGAAAAATGGGTGCTCTTTCCAAGACTCATTTATCAAAGAACAAAGGCAGTTGTGGGTACAAGGAGTCTCATGTGTCCTATTGTATGCAATTTGACTACAAGCCAACCACTTTATATTTTAAATATGACATAAATTACCTAAATCAGGATTTAAAAGACTAGAGAGGGCATGGCCACTTGCTTTTTGCTTGAATTTTATTTGTTGATATAGCTGCATATGTCTGAAGGTGGATAAACCCTCCAAAAGTCACATTGTTCAGAGCTGAAACGCAATATTCAACAATGCATGTTGGTGAATTTGCCTTCAGCCAAGCTGGCAGGAGGCTGCAGCTGCCCTTTGCCATACAGTATCCCTTTCTTCCTTAGAGGATCTATTCTACTAGTTTTAATGCTTCTACTAAGCCAAAGCAAACCACACAACAAGGTTTCCTGCAGAAGCAAGTGCCATTTTTTCACTTTTGGCCACAACATGTGATGATCATTTGTGGTTAGTTCATTCAAAAATATTATAATTTAATTTGGTTTCAAATACCTTCTCTTTCCTCATTCTCCCTTATTTAATACAGTTTGGAGTCCTATTGCTCATTAATCAAGATCTAGATAACTTAAGGTTTTATGTCATCTCTTACACAGAAACAAAGAGAAATACAGATAAAGGAAAATAATGTATGGAAAGAACTGATTCATCTCATCAGAATTCTGAATTTAGTTTACATGAGATCCAAAAGCATTTTCCTGCTTTTCATATCCAAGTCCTTAATGAGGCAGTTTTGTCAAAGAGAAATCTCAAAAATAGAATGTTCCAGTAAGATGTCTTTTAAATCTGTCTACTCTTTGTGTATGCTAAACTCATCAAATGCCTTTCTAAAATAGCTACTGTTTTGCAGCAAACGAAGCACAGACAATTGAATGTGTCAACACCACTCGCGGAGTCACGCTAAGATTCATTTATTTTTGTCAGGCACCCATACTAGTAGTGAATCAACTGCACTGCATTTGTAGTCAGATGTCACACATACTGCAAACCTATCTCAAAGGCTTTGGTTCTGCTCTCAGATGAGTTGTACACTGCAGAAAGGTCTGCAATGACCCAGGAGAGTTGGCACCTGGGAGCATCAAGATTGCCTTTGGCTAGCCCCATTTCTAAATTATTCTAAAAGAAAGGAAACCTCTTTTTAGTATACTGCTATTCAAGAAAAGCCTACTTTGTCAGATTAGAATAACTACAGCAAAATATCTGGTGCATCATTTCCAAGGTGGGACCAAGAAAGTAGAAGGACCAGCTCAATGGATGGTGAACAAAAAGAAAAAGATTATGAATCAAAAGATAATCCTTATCACAGGATCTGCAGGACCTCCATTGCTCCTTAGAGATGGATTCAAACCTTGTTACTCTGCTGAGGATACACTTCAGTCTGGAATTTCCCTGTCTGGGAACTGCCTGGGAAAGTCTGGATGAAACTTGGTGTGTCTGCATAATGCAAAAAACCACAGTGGTCCAGCATGTCCTGGACAAAGATCTACAGAACATTCTTATTTAGAGACTTGCAGAAACAGAAATATTTATTCAACTAAGCAGCAAAACAGTAACATCTGAAATCTCAGATAAAGAAAAGACAAGCCAGACAGACCTACTTTGTGCATTAAATAATGAGAATGCAGGGTTTTGCTATAACCTTTATCACGGGAAGGATGAATGGAAAGGAAGAATTTTTTGGTCTGACCAGGTAGGAGAATAAAAGAAAAAAGGCTGCAATGGGTTTGAATTGCAGGCAGCTCAAATGGCTGTCATTACTACAGCCATCAAAGTCATACCATATAAGCTCAGTAAATATCACTCTTCCAGATGTTGCTGTTTCTAAGAATATATGTGAGGTTGTATCCTAGAGCATATGGTGCCATTTCAAAAGTTTCACCACAGTAGGCAGCTGAGTGGGAGGAGGCAGGAAGGGAGAGAGTATGCATGGATATCTCTCAAGGCCACTTTTCCTTTGGAGTTTTCCACATGCCTGTCATTGCTGCAAATGCCCATATTGCAAACAAGAATCAAGTAAATTGTGATGTAGTTTGTTACCAAGTGGAAGAGTTAACAGCCTCTCTTATCTTGTAATCTCACAGACATAGGTTATTTGCTTAACAGACTAATTTGACTTTGCAAATATTGGTGCAATGCAAGGAGTAATTAAGTTTTACTGTAAGCAAAACCCATTTTCCTTCCCACTAATAGTTAGAGCAATCACTGAAGTTGGGTTCCTACTCATGGCTGGAGGTGTAAACCCAGAAAGCATTCTCAGGATACCTCTGGCAATGTTCGGGTGGCAAGCATGGACTATGGTATAGGCCACTAAGACATTTGGATGGTTTTCTAATATAACATAGCTAAAATATGGTGCATGTTCTGTATTTTCCTTAGATGTTTGCCCAAGGAAAGGGGATTGTTTGAAGAAACCACCTCTTGCACCTTTTTTTAGAGTGACGAATATTGTGCTATATCAGTGGCTACACGTAAAATGTTTACACTATTCTTTTTCAAAATGTATAGATCAACACAGAGTATTTAAACATATCAGAAAGTAATAACCTGTAATAGATGGACTTTAAAATAATTGCTGAATTGGAAAATCATTTTATTTTAAGGTCTCAGCCTTAGTTTCATGACTCTTTATAGACTCATATGCATAAGCTGGAGGTACAACTTTGTTTTCTATTACTTAGCCATTGAGCCAGCTAGTCTCTTGACCTTACTTGGATTTGCACCGGTGGCACAAATTAAAATGTTTTAAATTTGATTAATGAATTATTAAACCAGTTATTTAATATCTTCAGCAAGATCTGCACCAATGGCACACAGTTGAAGAGCCATGTCTCAGTACTGATCCAAACATCCAAACAGTTGTAAACAGAACAGAATAAAGAAATTATAGTTAAGGAGTCACTGAAAAAAGAAGCAGACCTACATGACAACAAAACTATAGAAATTATACTGAATACTTATTCTAAATATGAAGTGTCTGATAACTTTCAATGAGAGTTTTAATCATCCTTTCCCACATTGTAATGAAGAGAATAAACTGCTATCTTCTTGTAATGATACTGAAGGCTCCTGTTTTTTTAAATTAAGATTTCTACAAGTTACTACGGAAATTAGTGCAGGAGCCTCTTGTCTGCTCAAACTGTTTCCCCAAATGAGAAAAAGATGTAATTCGGTAGTGCTCATGATAAACTGAGAAAGCCACTCTGTTTCCTAGCAGACACATGGAACAAGCATGGCTGGCAGAGCCAGCTTGATGAAAAGGCAGTGCTTTAGTTAACGGAGGGATATTGATAATTACCAGCTGGCAGACAAAACAATGTAAAAAATTTGCTAGGAGGTTACTGAATGGAGTTATACTTCAACTCTGACATGACCAGGGTAAAATGTGACTATCAGTTTTGTGACTTTGATGAGGAAAACTTGTTTTTCTCTGGATAGTTAATGTGAACTCCAGTGTGGATTGCTAGTGCATTACCTAGAGTATGTCCCTGCAGTAGAAGGTTTCTGCATCACACACACTTGTTTTCTTACTCTGTCACAAATTTGTCGGCAGGACATCACCCCATTCTCAACCTTCTCTTGAACTATTATGGATCTACTATCTAGTCTACAAGGCTTTTCACATCACAGTAACAAACCCCCTATTATCAATTTCAGCTTCTTCTTTACTCAGTCTTTTAAAAATTTGTAAACTTATTTTGTTGCTTTAATACAATCATCTACTTAATTTCTATCAAAAAACCAAACTCATACGAATCCTTCTAGTAGGCACTTGTAAGTGCAGAAATAATAAACCTAATGCTGCCAGTGAAATCTGAATTTTGCTCCTCCTTCTTACCATCCACAAGAGCAACAAATCAACAGGCTACACAGGGAGACTGAGATGCTCTAAATAAACAATACTGTTTTTAG